TTGGAGGTTCTCCGCCATCCATGGCTGTAAGGACGCATGTGGTGCATCTGTTCCTTTTCCCTGTCCAGTTGTTTCTGGCAATATTAATTTCTGCATATTGTCGCCATCATTGGCATGTTTTGATTTCTAGTTGAAAAAATGGAAGTTGAGACTCAACTGATATACTGGAGGGAGTTTATTCCGAATCATCATCTTCAGCATTTCCAAGAGCAATCGAGTTCCTGGGCAGAGTAGACTCACTCAATTTAAGCTCAATATTTTCATTCTGGAAATGTGGAGCATTGTCATTGATGCCTGGATAAAAATATTTACGTGGAAATATTCAAAGATTGTGTGCCACAACCTCTAATTCGAGGACACAAGTGGATGATTCCCACAAATCTCTTCCCGGTCTATCCTCTCATTCACATACAGGTTGCCATTTTGTTCATTCAGATCAAAGAATTGCTTTTCTGAAGAAATACCAAGGCTTGCGCTTTGAACAGCTCTCTGACATCCAACCCCAGATCTTTAGGCAAGGTTCCCCACAAAGGAGCCCTGCTCTGCTTCCTCTGGAACTGAATACTGAACCTGCTCAGACCCCAACCTGGCAGAAGAACACAGACCACAATATGAACAGAAACAGTACTTGCCTCCTGGTGATCTTCCTTTTTCTCTCTGCCTGCTTTATTTCCCATCACATCCATTGTTGTTTCTGATTTCCTCTTCCCTTCACTTTAGTTTTCAAGACTCCCAGTACACTTATGCGATATAACAGAAATATTGTTCTTTTGAGTTGATCTTTGGAAAACTGAGAGCTTTCCTTTCTCAAGCAGCTTTTAAAATAAAAGCTTTTCCTTTCTGCTCAGCTGAAGTGTTAAGAGAGTATGATTGCACCAAGAGTCTCAGAAATGCTGAGCCATGGCTGCTCCCCACGTTGTCCAACAGTGACACTCTGAGTCCATACGGTGAACTGCTTTTACTATTTCTATAATTCTACATAGAATTTTTCTCTAAGGTAGGGAATTACTTGTAGTATAAGTTCACCTTTAAATGCAATCAGAAACAAATTTCTTCTCCATCACTTGTGTGCATCTTCTTCGCTTCCCAGTCCCTCACCATTCAGCATCTTTGCTTTAGTTTCCTTTCTTAAAAAGGAAAAAAAATTACAAGAAAAGCCCATAGGAATAGTAGGGAGGGGATGCCTCGTGAGTGAGGAGAGCACATCAGATACAGAAAGTTTGTTTCCAGAGGCTTCTAAAGGAATTGTGGTCTCCTAGATCATTTAAATAGTGTAATTCCTTGTCAGGCTACACAATGTCTCCTTTATTGGATCAGGAGGCAGAGGGAAATACACTTGGCATGCTCTCTGGCAGGAAATTCCACTTCTGTGCATACTCAGGAACATCATTTCTGGTTGAAGGTTAGGACTTTCCTACCTCTGCCCATTGACAGTTACTACCAGCACCCCACACAAAGGTGATTTTTTTTTTACTTGAAAAGGGGAAGAAATGGCAGGGAGGTTTAGCTAACGGTACTGATGAACCCCATTTTACGCTTGAAATTAATTCAAAGAAAACTGGGTCCTTGCTGAATTAGTGATTAAAAAATCTCATTGGGGTAGAAACACCCCCCGCCCAAACAGTTAGTGTGTTGCTGTTGTTTTCTGACACAGGGTGAAGGTTCCAAGTTATAAGGAGCATAATGCAACCAATATTACATACAATTGCTTGCATTTTTTCTTTTTTATTCCCAGAGTCCCCTCCTCAATTAAGTCTCCTTATCTTATCATTCTAAAATATACAAACATCAATAATATCTCAGTTAAGTAAAACTATAACTGCTTTTGGAAAATGACATAACAAACCCTTTGGCAATGGGAATATCAATATCAGCTTTCTGGAGGGAGTGTAGTGGAGAGGGGTTACTTACTATCAGAGAAGTCCCTATGAAGTACCATTGACATGCAAACAAGTCCACCAAAGTTACTTGCTGACTAGATGTTTGACTATCCTATCTGTCCATGCAGACCACAGTAGGTATTTGTAGTGTACAAGCTGCTTGAAAGAAAAAGAAAAATGAATCAGTTTGCTTCCAGTTTAAGAGCTTGTCTGCCTGAATGACTGGAGTGGACACTGACTTGCCATAGGCCTCTAGTTTCTAGTGCTCACGGAGCTAGTAAACCTATGTCTTGCCAGTACCGAGATAGGTGGCTGCTCACATTTATTGATATACTAGCTGTCTATCCATCCATCCCAAAGTTTGGAAATATCATGCAGAAATGAGATAAAAACAAAATACAATAGTCAAAGCTAAAACAATTAAGAATGCACCAAATCCATCCGTAAATTAAACAGGAACCCACATACTAAAGTCTTGATCAATACTGGTTGGGAAATACACTTCCACATAAAAACTAGGTGAGAGGAATAAAATTAGGCTAATAACTGTCTCCCAAGCATGATTGTTTGCAATATGTAGGGAACTATGTTTTCTTATAGAGGAGCATTCTGTTTTATGAGCCCCCACCAGCAGTCCGAAGTAGCACGAATGAGGCAAAGATTGGTCACTTAATGCATCAAGATAAAGATTTGATGAAAGAAGTTCCTTCACAGAAGGATCACATACCCAGTGATGACTAAAAGAAGGAAGAGCTGAACGGAATAAAAAGAAGACTGACATAGTTCTGAATATAATGAGAAACCTGAGGCAAATGGGAAATATATTCTGATATTAATAAAACAAAACAAAAAAATCATGATAATCTAAATTGTTTGCTCACCTGGACTACGATTAAGCCTTCACTGTTCAAGTTTAAATCTTCACCAGGTAGGATTGGATCCTTTGCCTCACAAGCTTCTTTATTGTTCAGAGTATTGGAATAATTTGCCTTTCTAGAGTCTGTAGTGAGAGAAACCTCCTGGCAGTAGGAGTGCAGAAATGCTCGGACTCCATCGATCCCCACAAACTGTGAGATAGGAGCCCCACTGAAATTCACACTCCCTGACTCAAGCAGCTGAGAATTTCTCCACCTGTGCAACTTGATGGCCAGTAACACAAGGAGGAAAGCGAAGAACAAGCAGGAGACAAAAGCCACTGCAAGGACCAGGTAGAAGGTGAGGTCAGACGGAGGCTCCACAGGAGCTGAGATGCTGCTCAGGTCTGAGAGGATTGCAGGGATGGTGTCAGCCAGCACCACAGTCAGAGTGGCTGAAGCAGAGAGAGGTGGCTGCCCATTGTCCTTGACTAAAACCACCAGGCTTTGCTTGAGGGCATCTTTCTCCAGAAAGAAGCGGGCTGTCCTGATCTCTCCCGTGTGGAGCCCCAGAGTGAAGAGCCCTGGCTCGGTGGCCTTGATCAGCTGGTAGGAGAGCCAGGCATTCTGGCCAGAGTCCGCATCCACGGCCACCACCTTAGTGACCAGGTAGCCTGGCTCAGAGGAGCGAGGGGCCAGCTCTATCCCCGTGGAGCCATCAGTGGGAGGGGAGGGGTACAGGATTTGGGGAGCATTGTCATTCTGGTCCAGGATGAAGAGAGTCACTGAGACGTTAGAGCTGAGTGGTGGAGAACCTCCGTCCTGGGCCTTTACACGGAATCTAATGTCTCGAAACTCTTCATAATCAAAGGAGGTCAGTGCATATATAACCCCTGTCTCAGAGTTAATGGAGAGGTAGGAGGAGAGGCGGGAGTCACTTCCTTGGTCATCAGTGATGGAATATGTTATTCTGGCATTTTCTTCCCAGTCTGGATCACTTGCTTTCAGGGAAAAGACTGAGGCTCCTCTTGGATTATTTTCTAGAAGATAAGAGGTGTAGGCTGACTGTAAAAAGAATGGGGGATTGTCATTTGTGTCTAACAGCTGCAGTGAAATAATTGCAGAGGTTGATAATGTCGGAGTCCCATTATCAGTTGCTGTAATAGGGATATCATATGTCGCCACTTGTTCCCTGTCAAGGGCTCTGTCTGTCACTAAAGTGTAAAAGTTGTCCATTGTTTTCTTTAGTTGGAAAGGAAGGCTATTGGGAATTGAGCACATAACCTCCCCATTGACTCCTGAATCTCTGTCTTGGACATTTAAAATGGCAATGACAGTTCCAGTTGGTGTGTTCTCAGAAACAGAGTTGAGTACAAAGGTTATTGCTATTTCAGGTGCATTGTCATTTAAGTCTGTTACAAATATCACAACCTTTGATCTGTTACTTAGACCTCCACCATCAATGGCTTGCACCTCAAATTCATATAAGGATGATATTTCAAAGTCAAGGCTTCCTGCAAGGGTAATGTCTCCCGTTGTTGAATTCAGTCGAAACGTTTTAGAAATCTTCTCTGTGTTTTTCCCAAAGGAGTATTTTACCTCTCCATTGATTCCTTCATCTATATCGGTGGCTCTCACTGTGCAAACTATAAACCCTTTAGGAATATTTTCCTTTATGGTTGCTTCAAAGATCTGTTGTGTGAAAACCGGTGCATTGTCATTTGCATCTAGAACAATCACATGAATTTGAGCAGTACCAGACCTCACTGGATCACCCCCATCAGTAGCTGTGAGGATTAGATCATAATCTGGTTGCTCTTCCCTGTCCAGAA